TAGGAGGACAGTACCAGAGGGGTGAAAGTGGCTTAAAGAACTCAAGGGAACACCCTTGAATATTCAGCAGAGTGCCCCTCAACACTAAGGAACCTCCCTGAGGTGAGGGAAGAATTATCTGAAAACAGAAAAGGGAAAATCAATTCAAGTATTACTAAAGTGGGATGGTTCTACCTCAGTAGTGGGAAGTAATGGTGCTTTGGATCTACACAATAATGAAAGCAACACCTAAAAGTATCAAACTGTTTTCCAAATAACCCAATAACATCCCATAACAAAACATAAAAAAAATTATAGGAATATAAAATATCCAGCACCTAACAAAGGAAAATCAACAATGTGTATCATTCAGCCAGAAAGTTTTCCATTTATGCAGAGGCAGGAAGATATGGCCAATAATGAGAAGACACAATAGAAACTTAGAACTGATACAGATGTTGAAATTGGCATTGATATTATAATGGTTATAATTACGTTTCATATATTCAGAAAGTTAAGACATAGAAGACATAAAAAAAATCAAACTTCTTGAATCAAAAACTACAATGTCTGAGTTGAAAATACATTGGATATGATAATAGCACATTAGACATTTCAGAAGTAAAAATTAGTGAACTTAAAAATATGCGAGTAGAAAGTGCCTAAAAGGAAACAAGAGAAAAACAAAAGAAACTTATAAAAATGAAAAGAATGTTAGTAAGCTATGTGACATCTTGAAGTGGTTTAAAATATATGATACTGGAGTTTTCAAAGGGAAGGACAAAGATGATAGACCAAAAATATTTGAAGAAATAATGGCCAAACTTTTTCAAAACTCATAATAATAATCTACATACCTTCAGATAATCTACATACCTTCAGATCCAAGAAGCTTAACAAACCCCAAGCATAAGAAACATGCAGAAAACCCCACCAAGGTTCATTATATCAATTATTCAAAATGAGTGATAAAGAAAAATCTTAAAAGCAACCAGAGGGGGGCGGGAACAAGTTAGATGAAAAGGAGCATATATAAGAATGACAGCAGGGTAATAATTGTGAAATTTTGTAAATCTCCTCTAGTAAAAGAAATTGAAGGGCTTGGAGTAGTTTTACAGAAGATATTTATATTGTGGCAGCTTACGAATTTGGTAAAAACAAAACTATTTGTCACCTAGGATTGATTGAGAGTGCTGAAGAAACAAAAATGTATCATATAATGACAATAACAACAACAAAAGCAACAAGGAAGCTTATCTGATTACCCAATGAAATACACAATAAAAAACCAGAAGGTGCCCACATGAACTAGAACTACCTGAGTTTGAAAAATCCTTGGCAGCAAATAGCAATGAGTACTAGAGAAAATATAAATTATTTGTACTTTTCACATTATTCTTAGAAAATCATCATTTAAATCACTTTTCCAAGTATATATTCAGTAATTAAAAAGAGATTGGGATATATTAGATTTATATAACAAATAAGGAAAAAGTAAGACCTGAAAGGATCAAACTGTTTTCAAGTAACTCAGCTACTTTTACCTTTGGAGAATGATTTCCCCTCACAGAGAATGTAGCCCAGCCTTTATACTTCATCATTTAAAAAAAAAAATGCATCAAATCTTAACCCAAGAAACAAAGTTGATAAAAATAAAATAATAGAGGAGAAATATTTTTTAATGATGGTAGAGTTCTCATTGGAAGCAAAAATCAGTATTTCTTATGAATATAGATACAAAAGATGTAAACAAGATTTTGACAAGTCAGATTTAACAGCATGTTAAATAGAGAATACATCATGACAGAGTAAGTTTATCCTAGCTATGGAGGGTTAACATTTGAAAATCAAGGAATGAGCTAAAAAAGAAAAACCATATGACCCCCTTCAATAGATGCAGAAAAATCCTTTAACAAAATTCAATATCTATTTCTGATAAACTTTCTGAGCTAATAGGGAATAGAAGGAAACCTTGTCAGTCTGATAAAGGACATATATGAAAACCTACAGCTAGCATCATTCTGAAAAACTGAATGTGTTCCATTCTCCCTAAGATCGGGAACAATACAAGGATATCTCTTCACTTCTGCCTAGTATTGTATAGGAGGTTGTAGCCAGTGCAGTGTGGACCAATCTGAAAAAGAAAGACATCCAGACTAGAAAGGAAAAAGTGAAACTATCTTTTTTTTCATTGGGAATATGGTAATCCATGCAGACAATCCTATGAAATTTATCCCCAAAATTACTAGATTAAGTGAATTTAGCAAGGTTGCAGATAGGAGATCAGTGTATTCAAATGAATTGTGTATACCAACAATGAACAATCAGAAATTGAAACTAAGAAGGAATATCATTTATAATAGCATAAAGATAATGGGATATTTGGGACATGGGGATAGGAAAGATGGTGGAATGAGGTGGACTTCATTACCCTAGGAGTAAATCTTAATAAAACATGTGTGAGACGTACATACTGGAAATTATTGCTGAGAGATATAAAGAAGACCTAAAAGAATATTCATGGTTCTGAAGGGTTGATGTTGTTAATTCTCCTCAAATTAATTTTAGATTCTGCAATTCTATTCAAAATTCCAACAGTCTTTTTTTTTTTAATAGAAATTGACAAGCTGTTTTTAAACTTCTTATGGAAATGCAGAGGACCTAGGATAACCAAAACAAATTATAAAAAGAACAAAGTTAAAAGCCTAATGCTACCTAATTTCAAGACTTATTATTCAGCTGTGATAATCAAAATAGTGTGACACATCAGGGGAACAGAATATTGAGTTCACGATTGTGGGTTCAGGAATACCATACCTATGGTCATCTGATGTTTGACCAAAGCACAAAGGTAATGCAATGAAAAAGGAAAGACTTGGCTACAAAAGGTGCAGGAACAACTGGATTTCTGTATTTATATATATAAAAATCAACTCACAGTGGGTCACAGTCCTAAATTTAAAGCCTAAATATGTACAACTTAGAAGAAAACATAGGAGGAAGTCCATAAAAAAAATTAGTGGTTAGATTTAAAATTAAAATTGTCTACTCTTTGAAAGATATTACTAAGAGAATGAAAACACAAGCCACACACTGAGGAAATCTTTGCAAATCTTATATCTGATAAAAGACTTGCATTAAGAATACATGGAAAATCTCAAATTTCACCTGTAATATAACAAGCAGTCCAATTGAAAATTGGGTTTTAAGAGCATTGCTTGTTGGATTTTACAGTAAGATTAAGAGAAGCCATGCAACCCAGCTATCCCATTCCAAATCAGCATACTGTAGTGATAAATAAATGTCAATATGTACAGAAGCGCAGTACAAAATAGCCAAGATGTAGAACCAGCCTACATGTCTATCAACAGATGAATGGGTAAAACAAATGTGGTATGTGTACACAGTGCAAACTCAGCCCTAAAGAAGAATGAAATTGTCATTTGCTGGTAAATGAATAGAACTGGAAAACATCATCATGCCAGTCTCAGAAAGTCAAGAGTCAAATGTTTTCTCTTTCATGTAGAAACTAGAGAGAAAGGAAAGAAGAAAAAAAAAAAAAGAATAAAAAAGTTGTCTCAAAAATGGAAAGGAGACCCAAGAGTAGATGAAGGATATAGAAAGGGAGGGAGGACATGGGAAGAAGAGTGATCAAATTATGTGCATATATGAATATGTCATAACCCATCCCATTGTTATGCATAATTATAATGCACCAATAAAAAAAACATTTTAAAAAAGCACCTGACATTTTTTAGCACCAATCTGATCAAAATGAATGGGTGCCACACCAAGAACACTAAAAGCTTGGCCCTCTGGTCTCTGTAGAGTAAGCAGAACATGTAGAGTCTTTTGCTGTGTCCAACCAAATCTCTTAGTTCCAACTTCTCTACCTCCAACCTGGTCAGCAAATCTCTCAAGCAGGTCTAGTGATCCAGGGTTGAAGAGGGAGATAGGAAGCACAGTTAACTCTTCATTCCAGCTTTTCAGTTATAAAGTTTATGCGCTGTTCTTGTTTACCTCAGTGTTGTGTTTTTACTCTTATCCAGAACTGTAACCATAATCCAAGAAGATACTGATATGCCTATTTTAAAAATAAATTCTTTACTGAAACTTTGTAAGGTCTAGCTAGTTACTGCTAAGATCAAGAGTTAGAATTCAGATTTTCTGACTTTATAGTGTTTTTGGTTTTGGTTTTGGTTTGGTTTGGTATGGTTTGGTTTTTATCAGGTGCTGGGATTCAACCGAGGCCTTACACATGTTAAATAAGTGCTCTGCCACTGAACCACACCCCCAGCCTGACACTTTGATGACATGATCTACCCCCCAAATTAGGATTCATAGAGGATTTTTTCTGTTATTATAGATAAGGATCATTGTTTTTGTTGACTCATTTTTAATTTTTAAGTGACTACTGTGGCTTGCAGTTCCATGGAGAAGTCAAGACCCTTGTCTTCATGTGCATAGTGCTCTCATCCATTAAGGGCAATTATTAAACCTCCTGCAAATCCAAAATGTGTATGAAACTTAACAGCTTGCAGTACCAAGAACTGTGAAAACTACAACATTAACATATTAGGAGTAGTATAAGTCCTTTCTGTATCCAAACACTATAATTATTTCTCTCAGTGTTCATTACTAAGTGTGAACTAATTTCTGTCTCCGTGAGCTCTGTAAGCTGTCAAAACATGATTGGTATTATGTGTGATTTTTAAAAGAATGTCTTTGAAAAATTATGAATTTGTTTTATGTGCTACAGACAGATATGTGGAATTTTCCTTAAAACCCATTATTTCAGCAGATCTAGTTGTACATCTTACTGGATTTTCTTATGCTCTAATTTGAAGCACATTCTTTTTGTGTTTTAGATCATCTGTATAACTGAGGTTTATTTCTATGATGTGTTTTTCATCAAAGATTCTCAAAATAAGTTATTGGTTCTTTCTGCTGTTGTGACTGAGTTCACTTGGTCTTCTTGCTGAATTCTAATTGAAGCTCATTTCTCCCCCTTTTATTTTCAGATATTTGTATCTGCTCTTTTCTGGTGATGACCTTTTACCTTTAGACCACTGGGTGTTTAACACAGAAGCTCACCCTCTGCCTGTGTTACATTTAGCCAACATCACACTTTCAGGTAATCCTGCTGTTCGATGAAAGCAGCTCCAGAAGGAACAGTCTTACCTGTGTTTTGTTTACATGGACCACTACAGAAACTAGCTTGGAGAGGCGGCTTTTGAAAATCTGGACCTCTAAGTCAACATGACAGGGTGAAACTTCCCCACAAGACTTTTCAACTTGTAGATATATCAACTTTGAAATTATTCCATTTTATACCTGACCAAAACATGTTCTGGTACATGTAGGACAGAGACCTGATGTGCTTTGATTCTTAATGAGATGGTCACACAAGAAGCAATGCCCATTACTGCTGTATTACAAGAGCAAGCCAAGGACATAGAGCACCTTGCAGGAATTAGAGATGGCTTTTGGAACCAATTATATAATTTGTTTCATCTCACAGTGGAGCAGCTTTCAAATCAGATATTTACACATTGATTATCCCTTTTTCTCCATTTTAATAATGGAATAAGCTAAGATAAACAAAAACAAAAGAACAGTGTAACTGCATCAGGAGCAAGAAGACTCAAAAAAGAAACAGAAGTACCTATCCCTGTCTGAATTTTGAAGTTCCCCATTGGATGAACAGACTGGCAACCATTTCAATCCCAATGTTTTCATTGAAATTTCTTGGTTAAATTTAATTTTTCCTGGGGCATGATCTCACAAAGAATACTCTTCAAGTCTTTTTCTCTATCTGGTATCACTGAAATTGCTATTTATCATAACCACTACTTATGAGCCTGGGTTTGGGATTTTGTGCATGTAGTTCAGTCTAGTGTTGGTAGCATGACAAAAAGAGATGGAAGTGCCAGTGTGTTGCCTTGACACCTGTTCTTAGAGAAATTTTTGGTTTTGTTGGTAAGAAATTATTCTTCTAAACCAACACATCTACCAACTAAATTTTATTCACTTTAATCTCAGAGTCAGTCAGCTTACAACTTTACGTGGCTTGACAAAATTCACTCTAATATTATGCAGCTCTGAATTTGCTATGTTACTTTTACAATTTAGAAAAACAAAAACAAAACACAGTGAAACTCCTTAAACGTTCTATCAGGAATGGGGACAGGGGACCCTTTATTTATTATTTCATCAAATGAGTGAGCTGTTCACAAATATTTTTGTTGTTTTTAGTTTTTCCAAGAATATTTATAGACTCCAAAGAGTTAATCAGAATAACTTCAAAATAATTTTTGGTGAAAAGAGTGTAATTAGTCATATTACACTGAAATTGGGATATATCTAAAGGTCTTTCTTTTACTATTAGTAGATTTTGCATTGATTTAAAAAAAAAAAACTATTTCTTTATATATTGGCAGAAGAAACAAATTTTATCAAGAATTATATAGTATAAGGTAAATACTAATACTTATAAATTTTCTGTCCCTTGAATTTCTGTGACAGTGCAAGACACTTTTTTCCTCTTGATTTTATATATTTTCCACTGACATTAATAAAAGTTGGAAACAATATTATTAGTATTTACTCTGAATTTGAATATTTTATGAAACAAGTTTGTACAGGAAGTCCACCTTGGAATTCTGAAAGCTTATTCCTTATTCAGTAGCTTGACTTTTTAACCCTCTAATTAGCATGTAGTATATTTAAATTGGGAAAAAATTTAATAAATTAATTAAACATTTTCTAAGGGTGATCATTTTATACCACAATCATCAGACAATCCTCATAGTTCAGCCAATGATTCATAAATGATAGCCATTCCAAAATTGTTTAGTGTACATAGAAAATAAGGATGTAGAGCCAGTTATATTAAGTTTCTAAGAGGATTAAATTTATTATCTTCTACTATTTGAAAACTTAAAAGTTCTTGCAAAGGGTAGATGATGTAATTTTAGAAGAGAAAGGGAGTATTTGATTCTCAGAAAAAATTAGCCTTCCTCCTAAAATTAGCACAAGCCCACTTATGAGTCACTGAAAAAAAGTAAAAATCTTGAGTTGGCAAAGACCCCGCATATGTGTGCAGATAGCAGCAATCTCCCCTGCCCCTCCCCCTTCTTTCTAGAAGAGTGCAGAGTAAAGGGACCATGCTGACTCCCTAGGTACTCCTCACCAGAGAAGACAGAACCCCTAACCCAAGTGCCCTATATTACTTGGATGACTGGAGTTTAAGAGAAGGCAAGGAAGTGTATAAGCAGAGCCAGTTCCGTTACAAAGAATTTGAGAGGGACCATGGAAGGGTCTTCTTCACCACTCCCTACCTTCTTTGTGATGATAAGTCTAGAGCTTACAACAGTGCTTTTTCTTCTCTGAATACCAAAGGCAATTAAAGTCAGATACAAATGACTTGCCAGTGTCATGTTTTGTTTTTGTTAAAGATTTTGTAAATAACTTCCACTGAGATCAATCTTTACCCCATATTTTGCTTAGTTTCCAAGAGTATTCTTTACTCTCTTCTGTCCTTATTGCCCTTTGCATTTTGTAGATTTTATTACTCAGGTTCAGAACTCATTACATTTATAAGACCTCCTGCAAAGATCCCAGAAATGTTCCTTTTCAGGTGCCTCCTCAAAGAGCTGACCCCTCACTTTGTGCCTGTGGCACAGTTGTGCAGAACAGCTAGATGGGTTGGTACATAAAAAAAGAAAAGAAACAGAGATATTGGACACCTTCTACATTTATCTCTCTTTATCTTAGAATCACACTTTTTGGTTCAAACCAGATTTTTTGTTTTGTTTTATTGTTTTCTATTCAACCAGTTGAAGTTGTTAAAACCAAGGGAATGGGCCCTAACCAAAAAGAGTCTCAGTGCAGAAAAATAAGTCCCCAGTCAGGGGGTTGTTACTTTCTGGTGGGTTGCACATGTTATGTCTAATGCCAACTCATTCCTGTCTTTGAGCAGATGTGTCACTATGTGAAATCTTATCAACCTCTCACCTTCTCCATTCTCCATTGCCAAAGTATTTTATCAAAACTCAAAATTTGTTCATAAAAGATTACGCTTGCCATTCTCATTATAATGCAGTTTATCCTTAAGCCTGAGTTTATTTGAATGAATGCATGAGTAAATGAGAGAATGAGTGGGAACTTGGGACAGAGTACTGAATATGTGCCAGCATTGTGTCTGGCACTTCCAAGCATTATAACATTTTGTGTGATTCTAGTGGCATTTTCTGTATGAGAGTAGATAATACCATTTTAAGTGTTTTCCAATATGAATCATGTTACAAAATCCTTAATTTTATATTTCATTTAAATTAAAGAGGAAAAGAAAGGTTTATAATATATTTTAAACAATGTGTTACTATATAATACTAACAACTATAATTGTAGCTAATAACTAAAGTCTTGGAAAATATCAAAGAAATATTTGATTTCTGATGCAATTTTGACTAAAATATTTACTTTAGAAATAAATAAAAACATTCTTATTTTGCTATATCACTATAATTACATAATTAAAATCAATATTTTATAGAAGTGCTGGTTATTTTATATTCAAAGGTTTTGTCACTTCATTCATGGGTAAAACTTGTAGGTGTAAATTGTCTTTGCTCTGGTATGCTTCCTACTAGTGGTAGTACCCATGTTCTTAAATATAAAGAAAAATATACTAAGATATTTCTTAAGTTCCAAGTAATGGTTCCTAGTAATAATATTTGGAGTTCTTACTTTTCTTTAGGTTCCTTTACTCTGAAATTGGCTAGCTTCTTAGGCAGTCTTTACATAAATATGTACACATATCCATAAATACAGTTATAAAGATATTTAATACTGTCAGTTACACATACAGTTGTAACTTGTTTTGGCCTCACAGATTATCAGCAGAATCTTTAAGTAACCACAGATGATACGGAAATATTTTCATCCACTTATCTGTTTCAAGAATTGTGATGAAGATGATTTTCTGCTACTTCAGCTCATTCAGATCATGATGGAGATGTTCTTTTTTGATTCATATGTAGTTGAGAAGCTTTTCTGTAAAGGGCCACATAATAAATACTCAAGGCTATGTAATCCATAAAGTCTCTTTTATTACTTAATGCTGCAGTTGAAGTGTGAAAGCAGCTATAGATAATATGTAAATGAATGGTGGTAGCTGTGTTCTAATAAAGCATTACTTACAGAAACAGATGGAGGGCTGGATTTGGCCTGTGGGTCATAGTTGCTGGCCCTGATCCCAAGCCTAATTTGTGTAAGACCATCTAACCTTTGGTCTGTATCTTTTCTATGTGTTTTGACTTATATATTATTCATTTTTAAAGCAAAAAGATGTGTGTATGTTCACTTGTCTGTGTTTTGTTACCCAAAGCTGTATCTTTCATTGTCTTTACTCTTCTGGAGTCTGTTCAGGTTTCAAGATAATATGACTATACTCAAGAGGCGGAATGGGGTGGGGAGTATGCTATCAACCATTATCTTCACTTGTTATTTTAATGCCATATTTCCAGATTCCCTATGTAGAAAAGGTATATGTGGCATAAAAATACTCTTTTCTTTGAAGTTCCGGCCTATTCGTTGACCCTTGGACCAGGACTCTGGATTGCTGGAGCTGCAGAAATGTATCCACTTAGGTACTCAGAACAAAAATATGATAGAATTCCTAATCTTGGTGCTGCAGAAACTAATCTTTTGAAAATTTTTAGGCAACAGAAAATGGGTTATGTGCCTCATTTAAGGGTATTACTCCTGTTACCTCGAGAACAGCCTGAGTTTGAGGAGTATGGAGAAAAATGTATCTAAAAGAAGTGCTTTCTTCCATCCTTGTATACCTCTCCACAGTACCTTTCCAAGTCACTAACACTATTTCAGAATATCAGTATGCATCATTTTTCAATTAAAGCATTCCCCAGCTTCAACTTTATACTTCCACTACTTAACAGCTAATCTATTTCAAACTTGGTTTGAGCCCAGCAATTGAAGAACTCATAAAATTGCTCACAAAATTACATAACATTATATTAACTAGCCACATACGTTCCATATACCAATCATCCTGACAGATAATAGATTTTTCACTGAAAGTTTATTAAATATTTCACTTTTTTTTTAATTCTAGGGGAGGGAAAGATGATTCAGACTGAAAGAGCACAGAGATGTCTCTCTTCTGCATTATAAATATGCTGCCCTTTCAGGTCCATCCTACTATAAGGTTGCTTCAGCTCAGCGTGAATGTAAATTTGATACTAAAACACATACACCCACATACATTCATATTAATATGCACAGGCTTTTAAACAATTTCAAATATCTTGCAGCTATTTGAATGCTACAGAATTCTGTTGCAAATTGCATACCAGAAATTTTCATGAAGATAAGCTTAGCTCTTTGGGAAAAATTATTTTTTTAGAAAATTTAGGGATTAGTTTTTGCTGGATTAATTGAAATGCCCCAAATTTTAATTACTGGTTTTGAAAATTGAAATGCTATTCTTTAATCTTTCTGTTGTCAAATTCACTGATAAACTTGTTCCTTAAACTAATAAGTGGGGTAAGTATAACCTCCTAAATTGGAACCCACTGGCTGCCCCTGAATTGGTTTCCAATCATGTCCTCCATAATGTGATTTTTACAAATCAAAGGTAATATTGTATATTAAAGATCAAATAAAGATGTTCTTTAAGTGAAAAGTCTTTGTTTACCTTTCATTTTTACCCACTGGTAACAGTCAATCTTCCTGTATAAAGAAGAGCAACTTCAGGTTTTATAATAACTGGCAGTCCTTAGTATCTCACATTCCAAGATTATTTCTTTTGGCTCAGCCAGTTTTCACATCCCTTGATATTATAGAAAGATGAAGAGAGCTTTCTGGAAGGGTAATTTGTTTGTTTGTTTGATACCAGGAATTGAACTCAGACACTTGGCCACTGAGCCACATCCCCAAGCCATATTTTGTATTTAGAGACAGGGTCACACTGAGTTGCTTAGGACCTTGCTTTTGCTGAGGCTGGCTTTAAACTCGCGATCCTCCTTACTCAGCCTCCTGAGCTTCTGGGCTTACAGGCATGCAACAGGTTTTAAGAAAACAAACTTTAGACCTATGTGGCAGCCTTATAGTATTCCTATGTGTGTTGTTCCTAAAGCTTTGTTTAGTCCAGCCTCTGAGATCACCAAGCTTAAAAAATGTCTCTATTACTGGACCTTATCCTGTCACATTAAAATCTGATGTAGCTCTGCCAATGTAGATCTTGGACAAATACAGAATAAGGGGCATAAGGTGGTTTAGTCTAACAATACTGTCAAAGCACAGGATATTTCAAACTCTGTATCCACAAAGCATCAAAGTTGTGATAAAACCTGAAATAGCAACCGGTATACATTTTTGAGGTCTGATTCTTTCTAGTACTCTGAATTTCAACTTGATCAAAATTTTAGACTAGGAAATTACATTGTGGATGTACCAAAATCAGTTATGAATTTAAATTTTGAGGAACACCTAAAGCAGAACCAGTTAAGAATAAAAGAATATGGATCTTTTAAGTGAACATAATTTGTGAAAACCTGGACCTCTCTCTGCTAGATACCTGAAATTTACATAATTTCATTGGGTTACAAAGGAGTGTCAACATGCAAACAACTTCCATGTTAAGAATGGGTTTCAAAGTGAGTGAGCCTGTACCATAACTTGTTGGATGGTCTAATACAAATTTCACTTAATTTTTTAAATTGGAAACATATATTACATGAAATCAACTATTTTGACCACTTTAAAGTATACAATTCCGCATTTATTATATTGACAGTGTTGTGCAATCATTGCCAGTATCTATTTCCAAAATGTTTTCATCATTTCAAACAGGAACTTCTCTTTGAGTAATAATTCCCTTTTCCTCCCTCCTCTCAACCCCCGGTAATCTCTATTCTACTTTCTAAGATAAGTCCCTCCAAGTCTCAGGCTGGCCAGTATTTTGTCACCCACCTCTCTAGTCAGTTGTCCTTTGACTGTAAAGGAGTAAGTTGCTGCCTAGATCCACTCCACCATCTGTCTTCTACTTTCTAAGATAAATTGCTTAACCCCACTGAGTCTCAATTTTCTGGTAGAGGAGAGATAATATAGAATTCTTAGACTGAAAGTTCATGTGCCTAGCCCAGATGAAGTCCACAACTTCAGTTGTTTTTAATTATTTTTGTTGGCTGCAGGTTAGAATGATCATTCTTACATAGAAAGAAAAAGCAAAGGGAAAGGCCAAGAAAACCATCAGTTCTACCTCAAATTTAATGAATGTAAGTGCATTGATGATGCATACGAACCAAGCAATTTTAAAACTTGTAGAATTGACTTTTGCTAGAGATACAGCAAAAACAAAAGCTTCAAAGTTAATACAGGTTATTTTTGTGGGATAAGGATATAAGAGACTCCATATATAACTTTTTGTACAAAGTTTTATTGAGGCATGATTTACATAAAATGTTTCTATTGCAAGTACACAATTCAGTGATTTCTAGTAAGTTTATAAGATGTTACCATCCCACAATTTATAAAGGTAGATAAATAGATGCTTAGAAATTGGGTTTTTGAGTTACATGGTATACTATATATACTTTTTTGAAAAAATATATATACCACACTGTCTTCAGAGGGACTGCTTTTACATTCCTACTAGCAATGCATGAATATACACGTACCACATACCCACTAATGTTTGCTACTGTATCTTTTTACTGCCTGCTTTTTTTTATTATAGTCATTCTAATGGGTATGAAGTTGTATTTCAGTTGAGTTTTAATTTGCTTTTCTGTAATGACTGATATTGACCATCTATGCTATGAGCCAGTGTACATGTATTTGATTGTCTATTCAAATATTTTGTTCATTTTCAGCTTTTACTGAGTTTAAGAGTTATTTACATATTTTACATTTATTTTACTAAGATGGCTATTTGTCTTTAGCTTTTTTTTTTTTGTACTAGGGATTGATACCACTGAGCCACATCCACAGCCCTTTTTGTTTTATTTATTTATTTATTTATTTATTTATTGAGATGTGGGCTCACCAAGTTGCCTAAGGTCTTGCTTAATTGCAGAGGCTGGCTTTGAACTCCCAATCCTGCCTCAGACTCCAGTGCCACTTGGGATTATAGGTGTGTACCACCACACCCACCTGTCTTTAGTTTTAAATGGTATTTTAGGAAGTGCAAAAGATTTTAATTTTTTGAGGAAGTATAGTTAATCAGTGTTTTCTTTTATGGACTATGCTTTCCTAGCTAAAACAAGGTTCACCAAGAGTTTAAACTTGTTTTCTTCTAAAAGTTCTGTAGTTTTAGTTCTTACATTGAGGTCTATAATCCATTTTGAGTTAATTTCTCATGTGTGATAGAGATCTGATGGCAGTATTGTATGCAGGTATCCAATTATCACATGTGTTTTATTGAAAAGACTATTCTTTTCATTTGAAATTGTTCTGGCCCCTTTGTGAAATATCAATTGATCATTAATGTGATCTGGACCCTTAATTCTGTTCCGTTGATGTATGTCTTTCCTATTGGGGTACCATGTTATGTTAGTAATAGATTAAGAGCAGTGGTTCTCAACCAAGGGATGAGTTTGCCTTTCCTCCCTCCAGAGACATTTAGCAATATCTGAAGACATTTTTATGTCATGACTGGGGGAGGAGAAATTACTACAGCATCTAGTGGGGTAGAAGTTCAGAACAGAGATGGTTTTTATCAGCTACTTTTTTTCTGAAAATTGGTCACTCCCATCTCTTTGCACAGCTTATAATTTTTGGTTGAAAGCTGAGCATTTTAGAAAAACCTTTTGTAACCCTCTGGATTCTGATCTGATCTTCCTAACCCAGAAAGGTGGTGGTTGCTGCTATTTTTGTTTGGGGGGTTTTGTTTGTTCAGTGATTTGCCTGGACTTACTCTGTGGAGGTTATCTCAATACATAGTGTGCAATCACTGATACCTTTGCTCAGTTTTGTACTTTTAAGATCCTGTGTGCATTTTTAAGCCTGGCTTCCTAGGAGCCAGCACTGTGGCAGCATAGCTTAGTGTTCTTTCAGAGGCTGGACCCAAATGCCTTTAGCCAGTGCACTGCTTCTCCGCTTTACCTGTGGGTCCATGTGTGGATGGAGAACACGCTCAAGGTTTAGTTACATGTCTTCCCCAGCTTCTAATCTCCAGGCCCTTTCCTGTGTTTTCTGTCTTATCTCCAAGGGCTTGTGCTCAGTCGGGAATGTGTGGAGGTAGCTAGAGTTTTCAGTGTCTCCTGAATGTATGCTCAACCTTGCTCTTGCCTGCAGTTTTGCAAGCCACCAAGGATATGAGGCAAGGAGACATGATTATCTCATTCCACTCTCTCCCTGTTAAATTTCTGACTTGTATGCCAATGTATTGCTTTGTCTGCCAACATATTGCTTGCCTCAACCAGAACCACAACCTCACACTGGCTACATTGACCTTTCCTATTCATTTGCTATTGAGATTGTATCTGTTTTATGTTTTGTGTTTTGTTTTTGCTGGGGATCAAACCCAGGGCTTGTGCCTATGCAAGCACTCTACCACTGAGTTACATCCCTGACCTGCATCTGTCTGTAACTATGCCCAGCAGCATGGTATTTTTCTGTGCTTTGTTCAAGATCAAGTCACCCCCTCTTAGCTTGGCCTGTCCTGGTAGAATTGCCTTGCTGATGGAGCTGAAAGGGGAAGGGAGCAGCCCTGGGCCAAAACACCACAGATGCACTGTTCTTACTCAAGGTTCAGTAGATTTTGTTTTGTTTTGTTTTGTTTTTGTTTTTTAAGAAATAACATCCCAATTTGTTATATGTCTTTAGCAAAATTTTTAGAATCCTAAAGTGACTTTTTAGTTTTTTTTAATGTGTTATTTCATACCTTTGGAGGGGGAAGAATTTCTTGAACTCTAAAGATTAGCTCATTTTTTTCCTATTCTCACAACTAAAACTTTCACAAGACCCTTCTGTGGCTTCCCCATCTTTGGTTTTCCACATTTGCATATCCATACTTATTGTTCATAACTCATGCTATTCTTGCATTTTGTCATATATTACACTCATTTGTGAACACATCTTTATCTCCTCTACTAGATTGTTAGCTGCTTCATAGTATGCTAGTTATCTTTTTATTATTTTTAAATGTTTATTTAATAGACACCCCAATTCTTAGAGCCCTGTGCTCTTTCCACCAGCCCTGGCGGCCCCACTGAAGGGTAATCACAGTCCATTTCTCGTGATCTGAGTTTTCTGTCAACAAAAACTTTATCAAAACCATTATCACCAAAAAAAAAAAGCCTATTATAAAGGGGCATGGATTGAGACCTTTCTCTGCAAATATAGGAAATACACAGTGCCGCTGGTGCATAGGTGGTCTGGAAGACCTAGTGGAAAGAAGAGTGATCCTTGACTAGTGAGGAAGTTCACTAGTGCTTGATCTCTGACTGTGAGGCCTTAGGCACATTGTTCACCTTCTCTCTACCTCAGTTTGTTTCCTATAAAATAGGGCGAGACTAGAAGATCTGAATGTGATTCTTGATATAATATGGTTGTTAGTTCCACAATTTATTGAAATTTCAAAGCTTTAGTAGGCCTCTTGTATATAGAAGTCAAAATAAAATCTATCCTCAAATAGAGACTGTCCTGCTTAATACTGTGGTTGAGTACTGTCATCAAGAT